AAATTTCAAGTATTCATTTATCTACAACTTTTATGAAGGAATTAAATTCAAATACCCTATAGAATAGTGCCAGTTTTCTGGTTACAGTGGCTGTTTTTGACAGAGATCAACTACACAAACACTCTGAACATACCTTAGTAATCTGGCCATATCTCATGTTACACATAAGATATTGACCTGAAACTAATTTCTCAATTTCAGGAATACAATTTCCTACAACTTTTATGAAGGAGTCGAGTCCTAATTTTACACTGATAAGTCTTAGCTAGAACACCTGTTAGTAAAATAGACATAAATTGAGTTACAAATATTCGTTTGAGGTGAAACTAGTGGCTAAATTTCAAGTATTAAAAAGGCTACAACTTTTATGAAGACATAAACTCCCAATTCAGTCCATACAAGTCCCATAATTTAGTGAACAGTGACCTGCGAATTTGGGTTCTTAGGTTTTTAGCTCAACCACTTCTAATCCTCCATTTCAAGCATGATTCTAGTATCCTAGATGTAAAATCACAACAATAAAAGTAAGATAACACCCTTCCCATTCCTATTCAAGCTCATCCAAATAAGAAGAGAAAATTAAATAACACCATTTTAAAAAAATAAAACCATACAAGTATAAAGGAGGATAAGGGTAACAAGTTTACCTCTTGAAGCTTCTCAAGAAAATCAAAGTTTAATCCTCAAAATCAAGCTTCAAAAGTGAGAGAATTTGAAGAGAAAAATATAGAAAAATCTTACGGAAGCTTGTTGAAGAAGAAGATGCATTCTCTTTCTCAATCACTTTTAAAAGTCAAAATTTAATTACTTTATCCATTTTTTTTAACTTAAAAATTTCACTTTTGCAAAATGTAAATTTTTTGCAGTTTAAAAGGTAGAGAAATTTTTTTAAAAAAAGTAGTAAAATATTTAGAATAATACTAGGATGGTCACTAAAATTTTAATTCACTCAAATTGCTTTCGGATCGGTTCGTTTCTTGTCTGCTTATTAGACATACTGAAAAATAGAATTTTAAAATTTATCAAAATTTTACGACTTTGTTTGCTATATAATCAGATTCAGTGTGAAAATTTATTTATTTTTGTTAAGATTCTTGAAAAATAGGTCAATTTTGAGTATTTTCTAAAAATTTCAAATTTTTTTTAGAAAATCATAAATTATTTAATGAATATAAAATTCTAAAGTAACTTTAACTAATTTTTAATAATTTAATTTTTTTTTAATTTTGACAAAGATTTTGTCAAAATTCAGCAGACCAAGAGTACTGAGAATTAGAATGTTACAAAAAGAATGGTTAGAAAAGAATATCTCTCGGCTCATGACTAACTACTATTATATTTGGAAGCTCTTTGTCAAGTGTAGAGGACATCTTTAAAGCTAAATCTAAGAGCCTGCAGTCTTGAAAACATTCAGCAAATTTTTAAAGAGTTTTATCGTTAACAAGAGTCCCTTAACATTTCATATTCCTAAAGAATTCAATTAAAATCCCCTGCAACACACCAATGGCCCAAAATGTTTGAGTTAAACTTAATTAGCTTATCCCATAAAATATCTCTCAAATGTTCTTAAAGGCTACATACACTATAGAAAGGGTCTAAAATTACAAATTATTTAATTCAACTTTTAAATTAATATATTTAGACTTAGAAATTAGAAAATTTTGAAATTTAAAGGAAATTTACAAACACCACTTATCCTTAGAAAAGCCCAAAGCATTCATCTTTATGGAAGGGTTAAAATTATATTTATTAATAATTTGATCAATTCTATTAAGGTTAATTGAAGTTATATAATATCAGTAAAATCTAAATAGTAAATATACTTAAGATCATTAAGAAGTTTAGGAAAGGTTTTGTTACTTGTCACTCTACAATTCTAAAACATACAATTCGTTAATATTTGTCTAGACAAAAATTTGACACTTGATTAATACTTTCTTTACCCTTCTTATTAGAAAAGCCATGTTTATCATTTTTATAAATCTTATCTATTTCAAAATGTTGAATAAGATTTAGAAGCTTATCAGTAAGACAATGTTTCTTCAATTGGGGACTAAAGCCATATTTGTTTGATTCTCATTCTTAAAATATCTTCAAAGTTACCCTTATTATATATTTTTTTCTTTATCAATAGACTTTTAGAAATTACTCATAATAGCCATGATATCTTTTCCTTTCCCATGAGAATCAAAATCTAATTTCATTTAATTTTGAGATAAAACTTCTATAGTTTCTCTACTTGGAATGGACGTGTCACTTTTAGGATTTTTAATTTTCTAGACAGAATTACTTTTAACTTGACTTTTATTAGGAACTTTTTTTTATTATTAAAAGGAGTTTTGTGAGTTCCATTATCATGTTTTAGTAAGGGACTCATTTTCTTTTTTTTTTTTTTTTTAATTTAAGCAAAGACTTGTATATTAGAATTCTTATTAATTGAAAAATCTATTTAATCAATTTCTTCTAAAGGGTTATTCAGCATATCAAATCTAGAATATGTACCTTTAACATTAAGAGAAGTCCCATTATTATTTGAACCTTGTATTTTACATGAGCCTAATTTTCATTTTAAAAATCTTTTAACTATCACATATGAGTAAAAAATGCTATTTTTCTTTACTATTATTTTCTTGATTAGTACTCATTAGCCACCCATATTTTTTCTCCATTCAAACTAATGATTTAAAGATTTTTCTTCCTTTCCTCCTTAGATTAGAATTGCTCACTTTAATCTTGTATTAATACTTCTGGACAAAATTCAATCATATGCCCATATTTCTCACATGAGAAGCAAATAAGATGTAATTTCTCATATTTATAAAGTATTTTTATCTTAAAATAGAGAAAAATGAGTACTAATTTTTTTTTCTGAAGGTCTATTTCTATATAGATTCGAGTAAATTTACTCTTAACTTGAATAGCAATATAAAAATATTTTTGCATTGTTCGTAGAGCATAAACTGTCACTTTCTTAAAGGAATGGTCAGATGATTTAAACATAGATCTCCATCATTGAACTAATAAGAAATGGTCTAAAACCAGCCTTGATTCCTCAAATAGACCAAAACGATAATAGTCCATATTAGAAACACAAAGAAGGAAAAAATTTGTTGTTTAAATCTAATACTTTTACTAGCCCATTCTTTTCCCATAAGTTATTTATTTTTTGCTCCATATACATGTGACTCAAATCCTAAGGTGAACTTCGTTTTTTAATTCTTAATTATTTTCTTATTAATCAAAAGGGATATTAAGATCCTCCATTTGAAAATTTATTATTTCATCGTTTTGAAATGTGAAATGCATGTCTTAAGATGCCATAAGACTATCTCTATAAGAGACATGGTCAACATTTGAATAAAACGAGTTCACCTGACTTGAAGCTATTTCCTTTAACAAATTCATCTCCATTTGTTTAATATGAGAATCCTTCGTCATGAAATCACTAATTTTAAACTTTTTACATTTCCTTTGCAGTAGATCATTATCAATTGACACCTTTTGAGGGATTTCTGTGTCAATCTTGCTTATTTATTAATTTGTCAGATCATTTTAAAAGTAATTATAAGCAAATTAAGTCGTTTAACACAAGTCTCGAAAGAACTGCATTGAAATTAAAACATTGCGAGGCACTCGGCGGCACCCCGTCAAGGTCAAAAGAAAAGGTCTCACGTCAGAAATAAAAAAGAGTTCCCACGTTATGCAAGATAGCCATATCAATATCGACGGTAAATAAACAAAATTAATTTTTGAGTACTTTACCTATCTAAGAATAACTTTTAATTAATTAACGAAATTTAATGCTTATGATTAAATGAGGTGATTATTGTCAGAAAGTAATCCTTATAGTGAAATTTAATAATTTTCATGATGCATTTCAAATTTTAAATCAATTAGATATTTATAGTTATATAATTTTACAGTCAAAATTTACTTGTACTTTTAGAAAGTATATTATACATCAAAACCAAAAGATATTTAGGGAAGTGTGAATTATTTTTAAACATGTATGATTTAATCTACATAATAAAAAAAATAATCTTTTACTGGCCTCAATAATATTAATATTTTTTCTTAAACTTGGAATATAACTCAATCTAATCTCTTACGAATTACTAATACCTTTGAATTCATCGATCCCGAGCTATGACAGATATCCATATCACAAAATATCGTCCCTATAATTTTTGAAGTGCTATACAATACGACAACAGATAAGTCATAGCGTCTAACTAAGTGGTAGATTTTGATTGAAAATACGGGTTATATCATTTTATAACCAAATAAATAAACATAAAGCTAGTTAGACTGGTTTAGTTGAAGATAAAAAACCTGAAAGATTAAAAAAATGATTATATTGTTTAAGACAACAGTGTGACAAGAAAGAAAGAGAGATTAAGACACGTGTAATTAGGAGATATTTATGCATGGCTCAACGTAAAATAAAGGTCCAATACGTACCATTATTTTTTTAATAATTATAAAAATAAATATAAGAGGGACAGAGAAATACAAATATTGATGGTGGTTAGACTTGAACTTGTAACAATAAAAAATAAATACGTCTGAGGACTCATACATGGTCGTTAGACTTGGCTTCATAAAATAACCCAAAAGTCATACAAACACGTTATCAAAGGGATCAACATCACAGTCACACTCTAAACACATACACATGCAGCACCACAAATGCATGCTTCCATGAGTAGAATGACAAGTAAAACCGCGACATGACATGGCCCAGAGTGAAAGAGCGCAGACGCTTCAAATTTTTGTTTGGATCCGAAAAAACGCGTTACACATAAACATCACTTGGAAGTCTAAATAAAACGACAAGAGGGGAAGTGCAGTGAGGGCTTTATTGAATGTTGATTTTTGGCATAGAAAACGTGATTTTAATGCTGAAAATAAATTAACACTCTTTAGTAGCTTAATCATTTGTTCTAGACGCTGGACTGGACTCTATAAAAGGAGGGGAAGAAGGGAGCATGAGGTATAAGTCCTCAGTATCATCTCATCTGCTCTACCTATAATTTGTAGTTTCTCATATCACTCTCGAGAGGTATATATTAATTAATAATCCGTTTGCTGATCTGCTCTGAATTATATGTGTGTGTGTGTGTGTGTTGATTCAATTAAATCAAATTAAAGATGTTAAATAATTAGTACGTTCCTAACCCATTTCATTAATTTGTCTTTGTTACAGCTAGCTAGCTTGAAGAATAATCGATATTCAAAGACGATGGATATTGGTGCAAGTAGTATATTGATGGTGGCGTTGGCATGCGTCGTGATGTATGTTGTTGTGGGTTCACTGCAAGCAAGAAGCAATAAGCTTCCACCGGGACCTTCCCTTGTAACCATAATGAGAAACTCTTTCGAGTTGTACCAAAAGCCACAACAGACAATGGCTAAGCTTGCAAAGTTGTATGGGCCAATAATGCGTTTGAAGATAGGGCAAGCAACGACCATTATAATCTCTTCAGCAAATGCGGCAAAAGAGATCCTCCACACCCACGATGCGTTATTCTCAGACAGAACAAATCCTGATATAACAACAGCTTACAACCACAACAACTATAGCCTTGTGTTTCTCCCATATTCCCCCTTATGGCAAGAACTGAGGAAAATATGCCATGGCAACTTGTTCTCCAAAAAGACCCTTGACGCAAGCCAAGACCTTAGGCGCAAGAAACTTCAAGGACTCCTCAATGATATCCGTGAAAGCAGCCTTAAGGGTGAAGCAGTGGATGTTGGAAGAGCTGCTTTCATGACTTGCATTAACTTTCTATCCTACACTTTTGTCTCTCAGGATTTCGTTGAGTCTCTAGGGAACGAGGAGTACAAGCACGTTGTGGGAACTCTCTTGAAAGCAACTGGGACACCTAACTTGGTGGATTATCTACCAATGTTGAGGATGTTTGACCCACAAGGCATTAGAAGGCACACCACTAATTACATTGACAAGTTGTTCCACATCTTGGACCCCATAATTGACGAAAGGATTAAGCTCAGAAATGGGAAGCACTATGTCACAAACAACGACATGTTAGACATCTTGCTTCAAATTTCTGAAGGGGATAGCCAGAAGATGACTAGGAAACAGATCAAGCATTTATTCCTGGTATGTATATGTGCGTGCATGTTTTCTTCTCTAGCTCTCTCTTTGTGATCCATGCATGTGACTAATGAATAAATGTAATTAATTAATTAATAGGATCTTCTTGTTGCGGGGACTGATACAACAGCATATGGATTAGAAAGGACAATGACCGAACTAATCCACAACCCGGAGGCAATGGCAAAGGCCAAAAAGGAGTTGGAGGAAACGGTTGGAATAGGTAATCCGGTTGAGGAATCAGACATCGGAAGACTTCCATATTTGCAAGCAGTGATAAAAGAGAGTTTGCGTTTACATCCACCAGCACCACTTTTGCTCCCTAGGAGAGCCAAGATAGATGTGCAAGTGTGCGGCTACACAATCCCAAAGGGTTCCCAAGTCCTTATCAATGAGTGGGCTATTGGTAGGAACCCAAACATATGGGATAATGCACATGTTTTTTCACCCGAAAGGTTCTTGGGTTCCGACATTGACGTCAAAGGTCACAATTTTCAGCTCACCCCATTTGGCAGTGGTCGTCGTATATGCCCTGGCTCCCCTCTTGCTATTAGAATGTTGCATTTGATGTTGGGTTCATTGATAAACTCTTTTGATTGGAAGCTTGAAAACAATCTCCATCCAAAAGACATGCACTTGGATCAACCCCTCCGAGCTATTCCACTCTTGGTCAACGACACTTCAAACCCTAGATAATAATATTGTCTTTTTTCTTTTTTTTTTTTTATCCCTCTTTATTACAGCTTAGCTACTAGCTAGCTAGATTCAGCACTACCTCTGTACCTTGATTTACATTTATAAAAATTAACGATAATTAATCTGCTCTTTTCCTCTCTCTTACCATCTTTCAACTACATTAAAGTCCCATCGACCATTATTTTCTTTTTGATATTGTCATCGTTCAAAATAATTGTATAGTTAATGAATCATTAGAAAGGGACCTTCTCACTTGGATAAGAATCCCTTGGCATCCCTTCTCCTGAAGTGGTCCATATCCTTTGTCAATGTGCATATTACGTGTTACCCCATCCCTTTTAATAATCTACACACATACTATTTATTTTGTTTAAATTATATATGGTTGGTTTTTAATCCTAATTTTATCCACTAATATAGCAATTTTATTATTGTTAATAAAAAATTACTGTGATTACTATTTTTATCACTGTTATTATAATTAGTGCCGTTAAATTAATATCATATTTTTTTAATAAAATATGACTATTTAGAATTTGAAATAGACTTTTACTTTTCCACAAAGTTAATTTTTCTTTTAAAAATTCGCATATTCATTGCAATTTGCGCTTATCTTGAATTAACTATATATGAAAATTCTTATAAATATGACTCAGTTGATATATGGTTTAATCACTTAATTTAGATTCGCTTGAGAAGTTGAAGTAAAATGTTCAAACCTCATGACTAAAGTTTTGAGTGGTAAGTTTAGAAGATGCTCGTACAGGTCTGTTAATACTAATTTTGACAAATTTACTTAACCTTTAATTTTTTTATTTATTTTTCTCTTGGAAAAATAGTTTAAGTGTTTCTGATGTTATCTATAATTTAACATAATATATTTTAGAAACATACATTTACAGTATATAATACTATTTTTTTATTAAAATAATTTCTTTGAAGTATATTATAAAATCTTTATTATTTATTATTTTTTCATTTTAAATATTACGATTCATTCATACATTTTAATTATGTCTTTAGGAATGATTTCGATACTATGTTGTTCAATGTTTAGAAACCCAAGCATAAAATAATCTTTCCAAAGCCTAGTACTAAGACCATTTCCTAAAAGTTAGAAAAATCCTTTATTTAAGTTAGTCTAGAGATTGGGTTTGTCTTTTCAAGTTAGAAAACATAATTTAATTTTGTTTAAATTTCTGTGAAGGATATTAGTTGAAAATTTGTATTTAGCATTTAGAATCTACAGTGATAGTGAATTAGGACAACTCAAAAATTTCCAACCTACCTTAATCATATAGAGATAATTGGAAGAAGAAGAAATTTCATTCAATTATCAAGAATTTTGCTAAAAATTTTATAGTTTACATTACATAGAAAGATAGGCCTAAAGTAAGTAACCATTTCAGAATTAACAATTTTAGTAACTAGGGTTAAAATAGTTTAATTCACGTGCACTTTCTATTTTGTTAGGCTTTGTTAGAACAACTTTAATGAAATTTAAAAGATAATTTTTTAACAAATTCTATTAAGATTTGAAGAAAAGAGCATGAAAACCATCAATAGAGATATATGTTTTAATCTCATCAAAACATATATCTCTAGTTAAGCTAATCTATATAGGCAATATCAATTAAAGGATAGGAAATTGGAGAATCTAACAAATTTATGTAAATCTTATCATTAGTTAAAAGAGTTTTGAAATAGTTGTATTTTATTTTGGCTATAAACTCAATTGTTGTCCCAATGTTTTAAAGCTTCAATTCTGTTGACTTCCCTACACATACTAGTTTTATGATGAAATGCTTTTTGTTTTTGTCCCCCAAACAACAGCCATTTGCTTTTGCCTATTGGAACCGATAAATTTCTTCTTAATCTAAAATTTGTTCATATTCTTGCCAAAGTTTAATGATTAACTTATGCAAAAACTAGTTATTTCCTAAGACAATTTTCTTTTTAATTCTCTCAATTTTGTTAAAAGTTCTTCTTTTACAGTAAAATTCCTAAAAGTTTCTTTGTTCCACTTACTATACTATATTTAAAATTTTCAAGATATTAGACCATTCACCCTTAGAAGTCCAACTACTTTTGACTTCGTTAGAGAAGTCAAGATGACTTATTTAAAGGACAAGAAATTTAAAGTAACTACAGCTTCGATATTTAAAATCAGGGTGTCTAAGTTTCAGCCATAGTGCATTGTGGTCAAATTTACTAGAAATATGGATAAAAGAATGGTTACAAAGAATATCTCTGAGCTTATGACTAACTACTATTATGTTTGGAAGCTCTCTATCAAGTGTATGGGACATCTTTAAAGCTAAATCTAGAAGTTACAAGAAACACATCACTTCAGCATATCATGCATATTGTGTGCAACACATTGTGTCATTGTATCAAAATTTATTGTAAAATTTAAGAACAGAGGTGCAAAGCGATTGCTAATGAATATTATCATGTGACTCTAATTTTTACACTTAATTTCAAAATTTTCTCATCTTCAAATGACAAATTTTTCTTTATTTATAATAGACTTATTTTTAATCAACTTTAATTATGCATTATAAAGTTAATTATAATCGATTTCTTTTTAAAATATATTCATGTGTGAGTGAATGTTAATTTAAATTGACTCACGTGTAAAAAAATTTTGAAACAATAATGAAAGTTGAATTAAATTATTTTTTATATAAAAAATTTAAAATAAAATAGAAGTCAATTTAAATAAACTTCTGTGTAAAAAATTTTGAAAGCAAAATAAAAGATGATTTAAATTGATTTCTGTGTAAAAAATTTCAAAAGCAAAATGGAAGTTAATTTAAATCGATTTCTATGTAAAAAAATTAAATCTATAATAGAAGTCGATTTAAATCAGTTTTTGTGTAAAAATTTTTAAAATAAAAGCAAAAATTGATTTAAATTGATTTCTGTTGTATGTACTTTTAGGATATTTACGTAATTTTTTTAGGATATTTAAAAGTAATAATTTTTTTAATTTATTTGTGTAAAAAAGCCTAATTTAAACTTCAAAAGTTTTCACATTTTTTTTTAGTTTTATTTGATATAAAATAGCATATGTTATTAATAATATAATATTTTTAAAAATTTAAAAATATTCATATAATATCTTTTAATTATTTATTTTAAAAAAATTAATAATGCATATGTGGTTCTAAGAAAATTACTAATTTTAACTTTAAAAAATGTATCAGAAAAAAATTAAGCACGTTTAATATTTTAGAAACGTGTTTGAATCGCTTTTAACTTATTATATAAATGCAAATGGACCTAAAGCCTTGGTACCCATATTATTTTGAAATCTTGATAGTTACACCATTCTACTTATAGGACAAAATTCAAAGTTTCAATAAACACTTCTACCTGTATAATTAATAATATTCACGTGATAAGAGTCTTATTCTTTATTTGTGATATATATATATATATATATATATATATATATAATTTTTTTCACTTTCATTTAACTTACATTTAACATGTTATAATTTATTACTTTACTTGATGTTAAATATAAGTTAAATGAGAGACTTAAATTAAGTCTAAGAATTTTTAGACTTAGAGTAAGAAGGTCGTGCCGCTATATATATATATAAATATAATATTTCATAAATTTTAACTTTATATGTATTTTAAAAGTTTATAAAAAATGGCCTTTTTGGTCCTGTTTAATATTAAAAAAATATATAAACTTTTAATATATTAAAAATGAGTGGGTCACAAATGTACTTTTTTTCTTTATATTTTACAAATAAGAAACAAGGCACTAAAATAAATACGTTATATAATATCAAGGCATATGATTGAATTTTGTGTGAAAGTATTCATACAAGATAAACATAAAGTGAACAATTCTAATCTAGTAGGAAAAAAAAAAAGAAAAATCTTTAAATCATTAGTTTGAATGGAGAGAAAATATAGGTGGCTAATGAGCACTAATCAAGAAAATAATAGTAAAGAAAAATAGCATTTTTTTTCTTATATATGATAGTTAAAAGACTTTAAGAAAAAAAATTAGGCTCATATAAAATACAAGGTTCAAATAATAATGGGATATAAAGAAACATATTCTAGATTTGATATACTGAACAACCCTTTAGAAGAAATTGATTAAATGGATTTTTCAATTAATAAGAATTCTAATATACAAGTCTTTGCTTAAATTAAAAAAAAAAAAGGATAATGAGTCCCTTACTAAAATATGATAAGAGAACTCACAAAACTCTTTTTAATAATAAAAAAATTGTTCCTAATAAAAGTCAAGTTAAAAGTAATTCGGTTCAGAAAATTAAAAATCTTAAAAATGACACATCCATTCCAACTAGAGAAACTATAGAAGTTTTATCTCGAAATTGAATAAAATTAGACTTTAATTCTCATGAGAAAGGAAAAGATATCATGACTATTATGAGTAATTTCTAAAAGTTTATTAATAAAGAAAAAAATATAAAATAAGGGTAACTTTGAAGATATTTTAAGAATGAGAATCAAACAAATATGACTTTAGTCCCCAATTGAAGAAACATTGTCTACTGATAAGCTTCTAAATTTTATTCAACATTTTGAAATAGATAAGGTTTATAAAAATGACAAACATGTTTGAATGAATAAACAAAGTTCTAATGAGAAGGGTAAAGAAGACACTAGTCAAGTGTCAAACTTCTATCTAGACAAATATTAACGATTATATGTTTTGGAATTGTAGAATAATAGGTAACAAAACTTTTTTTAGACTTATCAATGATCTTAAGCATATTTACTATTTAGATTTTATTGATATTATATAACTTCATGTTAATCCGAATAGAACTGATCAAATTATTAATAAATATAATTTTAACTCTTTTATAAAGATGAATGCTTTCGGCTTTTCTAAGGACAAGTGGTGTTTTGTAAAATTCTTTTAAGTTTCAAATTTCTAAGATACATGGATGGATCGTTAGAGATTTCAATTGGTGAAGAAAATATTAAAGAGAGAAATTCCAGGAAGGTCAAAATGGATGAGAGGGATAAACATGTAGCAAACGTTGTTAGAAGGAAGACACATTCATGGAAGTCATCCCCTCTCAAAGAATAAGCAAGATAGACATGGAAATTCCTCAAAAAGTGTCA